GTTACCTGAATTAATTGCTGTGTGTGTGGTTGTTATAACTTTGATATAGAGATGGATTCACTTTTTTGTTTTAGTTTTATCCCTCTTTGTTAATTTCTGAATATGTAAAGTATTTACATTGCTCAAAGTCAAAATTATATAAAAAGTATATACCTTTTGGTATATCTTTGTGGAGCAAATAAATGTGCTGTATGACCAGATGTTTTCTCTTCATACACATCCACACACACAAAGTCATCAATTCTCTATTTTTAGTTTGTAATTTGGACCCAAGTCCATGAAGTAAAAAGGTCATTTCTCTATGTTCTCTATGCCATTTCTTTCACATCTTAACACAAGGAATATTGAGAGAGTCTCGACTTCATCCTTAATGCACAAAAATGTGATGCATCAATACAAATAGAGCATGCAACTCTTGATCTCGGTCGGGGTTGTAAAGTTTGAGCCCCACGTCGGGTGCAGAGAATACTTAAAAATAAAATCTTGGGGCACCTGGGTGGCTCAGTCGGTCAAACCTCCAACTCTTTTTTTTTTTTTTTTAAGATTTATTTATTTGAGAGAGCGAGAATGAGAGAGAGAGAGAGTACACGAGAGGGGGGACGGTTAGAGGGAGAAGCAGGCTCCCCGCCGAGCAGGGAGCCTGATGCGGGACTCGATCCTGGGACTCCAGGATCATGAGCTGAGCCGAAGGCAGTCGCCTAACCAACTGAGCCACCCAGGCGCCCCAAACCTCCAACTCTTGATTTCAGCTCAGGTCACGGTCTCGGGGTCATGAGATCAAGCCCCGTGTCGGACTGTGTGCTCAGCATGGAGTCAGCCTGGGATTCTCTCTCTCCCTCTCCCTTTGCCTCTTCCCCTGGCTTGTGCTCACTCTCTCTCAATAAATAAAATCTTTTTAAAAATCTTAAAAAAAAAAAAACCAAAATATCTCAAAACAGTACAGGATACTGACACATGGGGTCCTCTTGCTGATTTTTACATAACATCAAAAGCACTTCTATAAATGTGCAGGTCTTAGATGCAAGAGAAAGACACTGTGGGCCATAGTCAGAGTGCTGCATCTGAGAAAGTGGCTAGTCCTACAGGGTGAAGTAATCTTGGTAAGTTTACCTGGTGACAATCCCATTTTCTGCAAGAATGAAGGCTGCAGTAGGACTGGCAGCCCTGATGAGGCTCTGCAGCTGGACAAGGAGAGGGTGCCTCTGCTCCGTGGTGTGACTGGTGAACACCACATTACTCACCAGGCCTGGGGAATAAAACCAAGAACGGTTCAGGCTTCGGAGTCCTGATTGGGGCTGAGGGCTCACACAATGTGAGCCTTTGCTCCCTTCCTGATCATCCCTTCCAGTAGCCCTCTTATGCAGACACCCCTGACCCCCAAAACCTGCTCCTCTGTCTGTCACTGCCACTTCTTGGAGTGAATGGCCTCAAGCCTGTAGCTGCCTCACTTCTTACCCTCCTCTACTTTCTCAATTCTGCTCTCCAGCTGGAAGCTCTCCTAGAGCTTCTTCATCAAAGGGCCCTTCCCACATCCCTTGTCCTTAACCTCTTCCGGAACCCGTGCCAGACACCATCACCAGTTTAGACCACAGACATTTACCAAGCACAAACCATATGTCAGGCACTCACCATTAGATTCTCAAAGAGTGCACAGGCAAGGAGTTGCTCACACGGACCTACAATTCTAAGATAAGTGCTAACACAGATATTCACACAGTCATACAGTAAGGAAGAGTGATGTCGGCAATGAGGGGTTGTGGAGTGGGCAAAAATCCCTCCCAAGCCTTCATGGATACATAGAAGGAAAATCTATGCTACAGAGAATTTGGAAATCAGGGAAGTTATCATATCCTACCATGCCAACATAATTATAATTCCATACTCATTTCTGTTTTGACATAGTTATGATCAGAGCAGATATACCATTTCCACTATAAGATCACTTGCATTTTTGTTATTCAACCATTTTTATTCACTTATTAATACTGTGAAAATATCAAACATATCCAAAAATTTTGAAAGTGGTACAATGAACTCCCATGTGCCCATCACCCTTCAAGAATTAACAACACTTGGCTAACTGCATTTCTTCCATATCACATGCCGGCCCTTGCCCCTTTCCCCGGGATGATTTTGAAGTCAATCCCAGATATCCTATTCTTTCATCCAAAAATATTTCAGTATATTTAAAAAATTAATAATTAACAATGAATGTTTTCTTAAGAGGTGATTTTTTTGAACCAGGAACCAAAGTCCACACACTATATTTCATTGATATATCTCATAATTCTCTTTCAATCTGTGGTGTCTCATTTCTTTGTAATTTATTTGTTGAACAGCTGTGTCCTGTAAAAAACCCCAGGCGCCCCTCAATCTTTTAAAATATAAACTATTTTTTAAAAAATTTCTTGTTCTTGGGGCGCCTGGGTGGCTCAATTGGTTAAGCATCTGCCTTCGGCTCAGGTCATGATCCCAGGGTCCTGGGATCGAGCCCCACGTCGGGCTCCCTGCTCAGCAGGAGGCCTGCTTCTCCCTCTCCCACTCCCCCTGCTTGTGCTCTCTCTCCCTCTCTCTGTCAAATAAATAAAGTCTTAAAAAAAAAAGATTAAAAAAATTTGTTCTTTCTCTAATTTTTTAAAAAAGATTTATTTATCTTAGAGAGAGAGAGGGTGAGTGAGTGAGCACAGGGAGGAGGGGCAGAGGGAAAGAATCTTTTTTTTTAAAAATTTATTCATGTTAGAGAGAAAGCGCGCACGCACACAAAAGAGAAAGAGAGTGGGGGGAGGGGCAGAGGGAGAGAGAATCCTGAGGCAGACTCCTTGCTGAGTGCAGAGGCCAATGGGTGGCTCAGTCCCAGGACCCCGAGATCCTGACCTGAGCTGAAACCTAGAGTTGGCTGCTTAACCGACTGAGCCACCCAGAGAGGGAGAGAGAATCTTAAGCAGACTCCGGGCTGAGCACAGAGCCTGAAGCCAGGCTTGTTCTCATGACCCTGAGATTAGGACCTGAGCTAAAATCAAGAGTCAGCCATTTAACTGACTGAGCCACCCAGGCACCCCCCTTATAACTTTTTGATAGATCTAAATCACTGTTTCTTATAATATCACTTTTAGACAATGCCTATTGGCTTTTCTACGTGACAGATGGGGAAACCGGAATATTCGGAAGTGTTCTTCCCACTTCGCCATCACATTCTGGTTGGTTATATTAGTAATTTTAGTCCCTCCAGTGTATGTCTTTACAACTAACTAGATACTAAGAGTATGACTCACTCTTCATAACTTGATTTTACAGCTCTAAACTTTATTGATCTCCCACTTTGGAAGATGTAGAGAGAGTATCTCTTGCTGCCTCCTAATTCTTTGTTAAATAGAATTTCATTTATAGGTTTTCAAGATTTTCAACATTTATATTCTATTTTGTAATAGAATTCTCATGGGTGTTATCATTAACTCTATATCTAAGATTAAAATCTTTTTAATGGGAGAGGCTAGCTTTTATAAATGATTAGTTCATAAGTGGTTATCTCTAAATTACAGAGACTTCGGCTGTCCTAAGTAACCTTGTAATTGTGGGATCCTGAATGATGAATATTCAGTATAGAGGACTCTGTACAAATACTATTTAATTAAGCTGAGTGTTTAGTTTAAAAAAAAATCAGCTGTATTTAGTTTTTGAGGGCAAAACTCAAACAATGCAAAGAAGGATTCATGAGGAAAATAACCCCCCTTCCTCCTCAGCCGTCTAGTTTCCTTCCCTGGAGGCAACCGCCGTTATCAGATTCTCAGATCTCCTTCCAGGATGTGCTGTGTACACACAAGTAATTGTGGGTATACCTTTTTTCCCCCACAAATAGTGGCTCATTATACTGTTCTGCACCTTGTTTTTTTTGCTTAAGCTCTTTAACTTTTTAATTTTGGTAAAGCTTACTTTTTTGTTAAAATCTTCCCTATTACCTTACCATCTCAATCCTTCATGTGACTCTGCTCTCTCCCCTCCTTTAAACTATAAAAGCTCCTATGAATAACACAGGTGGTATTTAAAATACAGGACTCACAGTCTTATTTATCTTCTTTATATATGTAAAAAGATAGCATAATGTAAAAATTAAAGCATGGGTTTTAGAGCCAGGCAGACCATGAGTTTGAATGTGGGGCTCCACTAATTACTAATGAATGACATCAGGGGCAAACTGCTCAACTTTCTCTCTTAGCCAAATTTCCTCCTCTGTTAGATAGGAACAGTAACACACACCTGCAGGTTATCAGTAAATACTTATCACAGAGCCTACAGATACTCATTAAATGCAACTTAATGGCCACCACCATCCCCACCACCCTCATTGTCTGGGGAGCAACAGCCTAAGAATGAGACCTCTACACGGACACTGAGGGGCCTGGACTAATCCATTTCTCAGACAGACAAGGGTGGCTATGGCACCAGCAGGAAGCTAGGTCATGTGACTCCCACCAGTGAGGCTGCCGAGTCCATGGTTCAGATGAGTGGCCATCACTAGATGGAAGGCAACTTCCAGGATCCTTGGCTCCTGCCTCTAGTCTGAGGCATATGTAAACCATACTTCCTTCCTCTCGACACTCATACTAATGAAAAAAGTGTTCTAAAAACGCGAAAGACTGGGGGCGCCTGGGTGGCTCAGTCGTTAAGCGTCTGCCTTTGGCTCAGGTCACGATCCCAGGGTCCTGGGATCAAGCCCTGCATCGGGCTCCCTGCTGAGCGGGAAGCCTGCTTCTCCCTCTCCCACTCCCCCTGCTTGTGTTCCCTCTCTTGCTCTCTCTCTCTGTCAAATAGATAAATAAAATATTAAAAAATAAATAAAAGTGCTAAAGACGGAATCTGACCTCACAAATTGTCTGGATGCATTCAATTCATGACCAGGGAGCAGGGATTAGGAGCTTCATGCCAATGGTCACATGTTACTATGGGGAAAGGATACATACGAAGGTTATGCCACATGACTGGGACCATAGACATCAGGACTTAAAATTCACCTGCTGAGCACAGAACCTCCTTCCTAAGTGTTTATGAACAGTTTGGGGATCTATCAGTTCCTTGGTTCTGAGATGTAGGTTCTATTCTTCTCAGGTATCTGGTAGTGCTCAGCTAGTAAGCTGACCTTAGGCCTTTGCACAGTGCTTGAGAGACCTCTCAGGATTCAAGGGTGAGTTTCAACAGCCTTTCTTCACATCCAAGTGGTGAGTGCAGCTCTGCTTCCTCCTGTCACTTGGTGAAAGGCTGCCCAGTTCCCCAAATGTGGGCTGTGGAGACACCTGAGTCCTCCTCCTGGCCTGGTGAGTGCTAAACAGCTCCTGGATCCATCATCCACTATCAATCCCTGCTACCATTTGTCTGGTTCAGGCTGCTAGTCTCTTTGCTAGGTCACTGCTTATTCTGTGGACTTCCAGGCTTCTCTTACTATAATTCATTCTAACTATTGTAGTCAGAGTAATCTTTCAAAAACAGAAAATGTGATCATATCAGATGTGCTCTGGTGTGTGCCCTGGGTGTGCTCTGGTCACCATCAGGCCTTCGCTCTTGCTGGTCCTTCTGCCCGGAACCATCTTTCCCCTCCTCTTTGTTGGCCCAACTCCTCCTTCAGGCTATAGACAATTTGAATAGCACCTCTTCCAGAAGCCTTCCCCAAGCCCCCAGGACTGGGTTGAAGCAGGCTCTAGATACAGATTTGCTGAATAAGTGAATGAATGAATCAAGTGTCATAAAAGATACATGCAACCTGATGTCCAGTGCAGCTGCCTAAGCAGCTAAGCTGTGGGCACCCACATGCCAGAATTTTTCCCACTTCTAAGTCTGAGCAAATCCCATTCATCAGACAGCCATCTGAAAGGTTTCTAAGACTTACCAATATATACACATTTTTGGTAGAAAATTCAAAGGTACAAAAGGGTATTCAAACCAAGCTTCTTCCTCCCTCCTCTGGCACCCCGAGTCCTAGTTCTCTTTCCCAGAGGCAACCACTGACAACCAGATCTTGGGTATGCTTTCTCAGATAGTCTATGCGTATGCAAGTGTACAAGAAGATACAGAATCACGTTTTCTTAAGAGCTTCTCCCACACAAAACCTCCATCCTCAAGGTCTCCATGTATAACCTAGTTGTGATAACGGCACAGACTGAGGAATTCAAATGGAGAATATGCCAGCATTTTGTTTATTCTATTTTAAAACATTTAAAAATTTCTGTTCAGAAGCTTTAACACTAAGATGGACCATTCTCAGCCACAGTGTCAGGGAAGGCTCCTAATGAAGGTGACACTGGTTGTGTCTGTGCACTCAGTCCCATTTAGAAAGGTCACTCTGGAGGCTGCAGGGGAAGCACTGAGGATGAGGCTGGTGAGCCTAATGCCAGAAATCCATGTCCTACGGCTGCACCAGGGTCTGACTGGGGCCTCTGGAAATGGAGTGAGGCAAGATCAGAAGGCCAGGCCCAGAATGTGGCATAGTGGGGGAAGCAAAGCAGAGTTCTAGAAGGCTCAGCACATTCCAGAGGTGGCAAACATGGGAGCCGGATCCTGCAAGAGGCCCATGAGATTTCCATGAGACAAGAATGGCTGTGATGGATCTTGCAGTGAGGAGTCAGCAAAAGCTGAGTGAAGGCCTATAAATGTCCTAGGACACTGTGGGGTATCTTCTTGGGCAAAAGAAACTGGAGAATCAGACTACTGCAAATGTGGCAACCTAAGTTGTGTGCACCAGGATCACAAGTATAGGCCTGGCCTATTCTGGAAAAGGCTGGGGTCTGGATCTCTGATGGACACCTTGTCCAGAGTCCTGTCTGCCTCACCAGTATCATGTAGATACACCCTCGGGGGTTGGGATTCTAGGTCAGGAATTAGACACAGAAAAGGGGCTTTGCTTTATAGGGGAACAAGCAAAAGGATTATCCTCAGCATTCCTTAGGCCAGCTATGCAAACTACCACCTGCCAAGAGGAAATGCCATCTGTGAGGCAGGTACAGCAGTTATCTGGAGCACAGGGTGAAGAGGCCACTGTGGGCGTTTCATCTTGCTTGGGCCAGGGGCTTCCTTCTGCTCCGTATCAAAGAATGGATACCCACATTTGGCCATGGTCTTACCAGTCTGGGATGTGAGCGAGTGGACAGCCTGGCCTGCCCATTCCCCAGAGTGGAGAAACACCTCTAAGGTCTGACTGTCCCAGTCTGGGCTAAAGGCCTCCAGAAGCCCAGGAGAAAGCAAAGTTTGTTTTAATCCACCTTTAGATACTTCCAAAAGCAGGACATGGTAGAAAATGTCTTTGCTCTTCTCTCAAATCAGCATTATACTGAGTCTTGTTTGCTGTTTAAGCTCTGAGATTATTTCCTAATCCTTGATTTCTGTAACACACATCATCTTGGGGCTGCGATATAGTCCTTTTCTTATTGTAAAACAATCCTTTGTTGTAAAAGCAATGAATCAGGGAGCCTGACTCATGAACAGGAGCAAAGGGAGGCAATATGCTCCCTCGGGACATGAAGTGTTTGTCTACTGGTGGCAGATCCCACTGCCAAGTTAGCCACCAAATCTCTGAGGATAAAAGAAATACTTGCCTTTTATTTCCTCCCTCCCTGGACAGCCCATGCCCATGGTGAGCCAGGTCAGACCAGTTCATGGGGTCCTTTGGGCCCAGATGCAAGGGGAAGATAATTTCTAAGACACTGTCACTCTACAAGTCCTTTGGAGTTTAGAAAATCATCCATGGCCTCAAGGTCATCTGCCCACATCCCTATCTTTACACATGCACAGAATCTGATACAAGTTGCCTTTGAACACTGAGTAAGGAAGCAGTGTTAATGAAATCTGTCTACCAAGTGCCAGAGAGAATCCAGTCTGTCTTGGCCTAAAAGGTCTTTCCTCCCAAGAAGAGAACTCAGGTTCATGGACAATGAAGACAGAGCACCTCCCCAAAGCTCTCGGCTAGGGCAGTCTGACTGTCTGTGCTGTGTGCAAAAAAACAAAAGGGGCACAGAGGGAGAAAGTGCCAAGGAGCCACGGTGCATTAAGGTGGCAATAATCATGTGGTGGACAGGGGATGACTATAGCCCACACCCTTGGCTTTGACCATGACTTGCAAACATATATCCAAGGACCAGACAGTGATCCTTGGTTATCTCCTGGGCCTATGTTTTTGCCTTTGCTTTATATCTCAAGGACAGGTACCACCAACCTTCCCAACCTCCCAACCTTGGAACTTAGAGCAGTTCATACTAAATACCTCTTTCTCCAACTCATGCCCCACATCTAGTCTGTCACAACATTCTACAGACCCAACCTCCATAAAACCTCCTTCATCTACGTGGAGTGGATACTGTGGGTGGACCCAGCCACCTCTATTCCACTCTGCTTCTGGGGTGCTGTGCCTGGAAAGCAACAAAAGACTCTAAAAGCTGGACTTGAGACTCCCTGGAGCGGCAGTCCAACACACACATTCCTCCCTCCAGTGACCCGGCTCCTGCCCTGCGCAGCACCCAGCTCAGCTGTTTCCCAAGACAATAGCTCTGGTATGCTCAGTTGTTTCCGCTCCCTGCGGACTGGCAATGGGATCAGCAGGGTAAAACTGTGCTGGGGACACCAAGTTATTTTCTTCTGTCTGATTTCTTCTTGCTGGGCTGGCTCAGGAAGCTCAGACCCCAGGTCTTCTGACAACAATGAGCATTTTATCATCACTGCAGGAAATTCAGAATTTATTCTGGGTCTCCAGGCACTATAGTTAATATGACTAAAAAGTGCTGCTTCCAGGGTTGCCAGATGGGAGAACAATGCGAGGTTGAATGTAACCTACAGGATGGATGGATTTTTCTAAATGCTACCAAGGAGGTGTGGAAAATTCCAGTGTATATAGGAGGGGATTAAGGGAGAAGGTCCTACTGGACCATACTCTGCATTCATGGGACAGGAGAAGTGCATCAAGATCTTGTTGATCCAGAGGCTAGGAATACCTAATACCTTTTCAGTCCACTGATATTAGTTGGAAGGCCAGGGCAGACTTAAGCCCCGCTCAGGAGAGCTGTTGTCATGACAGCTTATCATCTTAAGAGACAAACTCAGAAAGAAATCTGCCTATCAAATATGATAAAAGAAAAAGATGTCAAAGGTTTCCCTGGACCAATTTTGTTTGTTTTAGATTTTAGAATGGGAGGAAGGAGATGAAGAAAAGTCTGTTACATCTAAACAGAATTTGAAAGGCATGCAAAAGCAGGAAGTAAAACATATTGCTTACCTTGTGAACACTGGTCAAGACATTTAGGAAAGAGAAATCTAGAGGGGGAAAAAAGAGAGAAATATTTAAAAACCATTAATGTCAGAATTGTTATTTATTATTTCCCACAAAAATGTGAATATCCAAGCTGACTTATTCAATGCGGCAAGTGGCAGGCAGTACTAAGCAGCAAGAATTGTTTTTCGGGGCGCCTGGGGGGCTCAGATAGTTAAGCGTCTGCCTTCGGCTCAGGTCACGATCCCAGGGTCCTGGGATGGAGCCCCACGTCAGGCTCCTGGCTCAGTGGGGAGTCTGCTTCTCCCTCTCTCCCTGCCTCTCCCCCTTCTTGTGTTCTGTCTCTCTCTCTCAAATGAATAAATAAAATCTTTACTAAAAAAAAAAAAAAAAAGAATCGGTTTTCATAGCTTTGAACCAAAGCTCTCTAAGCCAGGAAGCCCACAGAAGCAGTCCTTATGTGGCCAACTCTTGATGGAATGTTGAAGAGGGGATAGAGGCCTAGTCTCTAGATTATAAGAAATAGAAAAGAAAGCAGGTTTTTTTGTTTTTTTAAGAGACACTGTACTGATCATAAAGGAGAAATTTCAAAGGAAAATGAGAAGAATTATATTCCCCTAACTCTTCCAGGGGTCTTCAGTACTAAAGTTGCCGTGCTTCCCTTTATGTGCATGCTGGAATCCTGGTTCCCCTTCAACCCCATTCTGAGCTCTAATGGTGAACGAATAGCAGGGAACTGACTGGATCACAGATGAAGCAGGTTGAGAGTGACTGATTCAAAGAGTGAGTGAGTTAGCTAACGCAGAGAAAAACTCACACTCTCAAGTGCTTTTAAACTCCTAAAGCATCATAGTACCCTTCTTAGGGAAGATAGCTAACACGAATGAGAATAACTGCCTTTTATCAAGCTCTTCCTCTGGGCTGGGTACCATGCAAGCAGTTCTCATGTATGGTCTTGTTCTGTCCTCATATCTACTCGATGCCTTGGGTACTTACTTACAAGCTGAGAAGAGTGGGTGCGTTTACAATAGCTAAGCAGTCTAAGCACTTTGCCCAAGGCCTCACACGAAGCTAGGAAGTGGGAGGACTTATGTAGGGACCCAGGTCTGTTTAGTACTGTAGAGCTCCCATGTTTTCTGTCCCTACAAATGAGATGCTTGCTGAAGCCACACTTCTGAATTGTTGCTGGTCTAGGCGCAGGTAGTAATGATGTTCAAATCACCAGGGGGGACTTTCTCTCCTGCAATCTCCTTTGTGGTGGCAAGTTTTCACCCTTCTATTTACTTTCTGAAAATACCATTTGGAACCAAATTTGGTAGGTAAGTGAGCTGGATGAATACCACTTTGGACTGTTGCTGTAGTTCTCTTGCCTGACTCCTTCATAGTTTCTGAGGAATTCCAAGGAGAAACCCCCATGTGCTCTGAGCAAGATCAAGAGCCCTGGAACTGGGAAGACACATCCATCCAACACTGGAATCTCCCAAGAAGAGAACTCACTGACTTCACTGCACTCAGTCTGAATGGCCTGACACATCACAAACACATTCTTAGAAACTGTCTGTCCCCATCAGTGCCTGTGGTTATAGGACATGCCCTTAAAGGCCCTTCTCAGCACCCTGCTTGCTTCCTCACAGCAGCCCACAGCAATTCACACCACAGACATCTTAGACAAGACAAGCAAAGTTCTCCCTCAAGGCATCTTATCCAATCACAGGCTGGATGCTCATGCTTTAAACCTCTGACGGCTACAAAGAAAATATTCAGAACACATAGAATTGCACATATACATGACTCTCTAAAAAAAACTGGAATGCAATTTCTCATATCTTGGCATCTTTGGCATCTCTGTCCCTCAAATTCATGTTGGCTTTCTTTCCTAATCCAACTAGGGGTTATTATTACTTCTTTATAATTCTTATGAAATTGCATCAAATCTTTTATTATGGCACCTCTTACCTCAATCATGATTATTTGGGTACATGTCAATGGTGTGGCATTTGGAAAATATATTTAACTTTTCTGAGCATCAGCTCCCTCATGGTAAAACATCGTAATGATGCCTCCTTAAGGGGGTATTTTGAGGATTAAGAGGGGTAAAGTATCACAGCAAAACAGCACAAAATAAATGTTGGCTCTCTGCTTTCCTTCTCTACATATCATCCTCCCTACTAAACTGTAGTATATTGGGCGCCTGGGTGGCTCAGTTGGTTAAGCGACTGCCTTCGGCTCAGGTCATGATCCTGGAGTCCCAGGATTGAGTCCCGCGTCGGACTCCCTGCTCAGCGGGGAGTCTGCTTCTCCCTCTGACCTTCCCCCCTCTCATGTACTCTCTCTCTCTCATTCTCTCTCTCAAATAAATAAATAAAAAATCTTTAAAAAAAATTAAACTGTAGTATTTTTTTTTTAACTAGTATTTTTGAAGAGTGCCTGGCATAGGACTCTTAAATAGAGCAGATGAGTTCATTAAAATGTACATACAATGTATATACAGGTTATTGACCAGCTCTTCCTCTAAGTAACAGAAATGACTGTGATTATAAGCCTCACATAAGTATGGTATCCTGCATTTTGTAGTGTGCCAACCCACTCCCTGATTTATATAAAATTCTAGTAAATACTGATCCAATCTGTCCCAAAACATGGGCCCCACAATTCCTACATGCATATCCACAAAACTGCAGATACCACATGAGCAGAGATCTGGGATGACTTATTCTTTGCTGCCCCCTCAATGATTAGAATGGTCCCTGGCACACAGCTGACCCAACAGATACTCACTGAATGAAATCCACTAGAATAAAGATACCAGACAAATCTCACATAGACTCATCCTGAATCCAAACTGAGCCCACCCTTAAAGAAGCCGCACTAATCCCCACCTCACAGAATGGAAAAAGACACCCTACTATGTTCTGCTCCCACCTGTTTTTTTAAACCATAATCTGGAAGCAATGATGTAAATTTTATTTTTGCTAAGGTAGCCACTTTACAAAAAAACCCCCAAAACACTGAATTAAGTTTTAAAAACTTGAGTCTCAAAAAATCTTTTCTTATTATAAAAGCAATATACAACCCACAGCTAACATCATACTTAATGGTTAAAGACTAGATGTTTTCCTTTTCAGATCAGGAACAAGAGAGGGTATCTGCTCTTGCTATTTCTACTCATTATATTGGAGGTTCTAGTCAGGGGAATTAGACAAGAAAAACAAAGTGCATCCAGACTGGAAAGAAAAAAGTAAAGCTATCTCTCCATACTCATGACACGCTTTTGTATATAGAAAATCTAAAGAGTACACACAAAACACTAACAGAATTAACAAATGTGTTCAGCCAAGGTTGTAGGATGTAAGATCAATATACAAAAATCAATTGCATGTCCATATACTACCAATGAACAATCCAAAAATGGTATTTAAAAACAATTCCATTTACAATAACATCACAAAGAACAAAATACTTAGGAATAAATTAAACAAAGGAAGCATAAGACTTTTACACGGAACATCACTGAAAGAAATTTAAGACCTAAATAAATGGAAAGATTGAGCCAGGTTCATGGACTTAATATTTTTAAGATGGCAATACTTCTCAAACAGATCTATAAATTCATTGAAATCCCTACCAAAATCTCAGTTGTCTTTTCTTGTAGGAACTGACAAGCTGATCCCTAAATTTACATGGAAATGCAAGGAACTCAGAATAGTCAAAACAATCTTGAAAAAGAACAAAGTTGAAGGACTCACACTTCTCAATTTCACAACTTACGACAAAGCTACAATAATCAAAACAATGTGCTACTGACATAAGGACAGACATGTCTATCAGTGGAATACTGCTGAGAGCCCAGAAAATAAGCCTTCATATTTACAGTGGATTGGTTTTTGACAAGAGTGCCAGGACAATTCAATGGGGAAATAATAAGTCTTTTCAACAAATGGTGCTGAGGCAGCTGGATATCAACATGTTGAAATAATGAAGTTGGACCCCTACTTCATGCTGTATGTAAAAATTAACTCAAGATGGAACACAGGTCTAAATATAAGAGCTAAAACTATAAAACGCTTAGAAGAAAACACTGGGATAAATCTTTGTGACTTTGGATTCGGTAATGCTTTCTTAGATATAACACCATAAACACAAGCAACGAAAGAAAAAATAAATTGGACTTCATTAAAATGGAAAACTTCTGTGATTTAGAGGATACCATCTAGGAAGTAAAAAGATAACCCATGGGAGAGAATTTTTGCAAATCAAGTATCTTATAAAGGACTTGGATTCAGAATATACGAAGCACTCTTGCAACTCAAAAAGAGACAACCCAGGGGCGCATGGCCGGCTCGGCTCAGTTGGTACAGCATGTGACACTTGATCTTGGGGTCATGAGTTCAAGGCCCATGTTGGGTACAGAGATTACTTAAAAAAAAAAAAAAAAAGAAAAAAAAGAGACAGCCCAATTTAAAAATGGGCAAAGAGTTTAATGGACTTTTCTACAAAAAACATACAAGTGGCCAATAAGCAAATGAAAAGATGCTGAATATCATTAGTATTAGGGAAATGCAAAGTAAAACTACAAGGAGATACCACTCTACACAATACAGACAGAAAATAACAAGTATTGGTGAGAACATGGAGAAAATGGAATCCTCATACACTGTGGTGGGAATGTAAATGGTGTAGTGGCTTTAGGTAACAGTTTGCAGTTCCTCAAAGTTAAATGTATGGTTACCATATGACCCAGCAATTCTACTCCTAGGTATATGCCCAAGAGAACAGAAAACATGACCACATGAAATCTTATACACACATGTTTCTAGCATTTATAATTTATTTATTTATAATAGCCCCCAAAATGTCCATCAAATGATGAATGAATAAATAAGATGTGGTATATCCATACAATAGAATATTATTTGGCCATTAAAAGGAATGAAGTTACTCACACATGTTAAAACATGGATGTACCTTGAAAACATTTTGATAAGTAGAAGAAGCCAGACACAAAAGGCTGCATGTTACATGATTACATTTATATGAAATGTCC